TAAAAATACAGAAAACATGACTTCATCATACATATAAAGCTTATTATCTGGAACAAATTTTAGTTGCAAATAATAGTACAACTGGCGTAAATATTAGATATTACAAAACCTGAATTATAATCAATAGCCATTTACTAGCTACTTATTTTTCCAAATTATGACCAGTGCCCTCAAGGGCAAACAAATCATCAGGCTACTTTTCAAAATGTATTCCATATCCCATATTTTAAATCAAGGGGGGGAAAGACTAGGGGGAAAATATAAATTGTTAATTTGATTTCTATCTTGGACCCCAAAGGACAATTACAATTCTAATTAAGTCATCATATGCAGCTCTCCCTGATTAATTTAAAAACTGAATTACAGTATGCACCATCATTTTTAAGTTCATAACCCACTGTGGAATCAGTTTTTAGTGTTTAACAAATTGCAAGCCCTTTCCACTTGGAATAAAGCAGTGAACTGAAACCCTTACAGAACTGGCAGCTTTTCGAAAAGAAGTTACCTTTATTCCATATAAATCAGCATTCAGGGGAAAAAAGGACTAAACATATTTTGGTGGTCTGACAGGCATGTCCAGACAAGAATCAACATTTCCTAGAGACCCTGGACACATATTGTTCTAATTCTGAAAACACGTACAGCATAATTCTAACAGTTTTTTCACTGGGAGACAACTGAAATTCATTCAGAGAAGAACTGCACTGTGCTATTTCCCCCTTTTGCATTACTTTCATTATCCTTCAAAATGTGGAAACTGTTGGAACCAAGATCTCCTGTTGCTTATTTTGATGGGTAGCCTTAATGGGAGTCCACCAGCTTTCATGAAAGCATTGGCTGAAATTACTTTACCACAGAGATTAGAGCTTTGCCAGATAGTCTCATTAGCTAACCCACTGCAAGTATCTAACTTTTGAAGTGGCTGGACTAAGCATAACCTTCTCCAAGAGACTTTTAAACCCACAACAGCCTCAAGAATCTCCCTACCCTCCAGCTCATAGGTGAGCATTTCACTAGCCCCAGTGTCACATGGGATGTAAATACCATCGCACAGCTGGAGTTTACTCATGTGTCCACCACCACTGCTAGCCCTGCTCTTCCTTCCAACTGGGGCGCCCAGTCAGCTAGCCACTCCTGGAAGAAGGAGGGAAGACGAGTCTCCCTGCAAGGCTCACGAGTGGCCAGCCGACCGGGTGCTCTGGAGCAATTGGAAGAAAGAATGGGGCCGGCACCACCAGCAGACACTTAAGTGGATGGTCCGGCCCCAGGGGACAATGCTGCCCTGGCTATCCTTACATTGAAAGGCTTTACAGCCTTGAAATTTAGAAACTGGTCTATCAGGACAAATGGAGTGGCGCCACACCTTGTTGTTGTTTTGTTGTTTAGTCATTTAGTCATGAGCACCCCAGGCCCTCCTGTCTTCCA